GACCGGCTCCGTGCGTGATCAGGCCCATCAGCCGTTCCTTCGTCTGTCCCGTGCCGTCGGTCCGGGTGTGCCTGCTCCGGCCTGTGGGCGGCTCGACGCGGCGCACCGCACCTCCCCTTGGCGCGGCCCCCGGGCGCTTTCCGGCCCCAACGGAGACGCGCCTCCCGGTGGGGACCTGCGGCTGTTCCTTCCCGGGCGGGCAGTGAGCCACACCGGATACCTCCCGGCCGGCGTTTGTAGATGGGAGGGGAGATAAAAGGCCCGAGGGATGGTGGCCATAAAGTCAATGTACGCAGGCTTGCGTTCTTTCATTCATTCAACAGTTTTTGCGCACTTGCTCCATGCGAGACGTGAAGCTTACAGAAGGGAGCGAGACGGTCGCGGGAGCTGCTGTCCTGGAACTTACAGCGTAGGAGGAAACAGGAACATGTTCAGGTTGTAAAGGACAATCTATTTCAAAACACTTGAGAGCAGATTTCTTTATCTCTTCTTTGGAGGGGCATTTGGGTTGTTTCTAGTTTTTATCTCTTGTGAATAAAGCTCCTATAACGTTCCTGTGTCCGTCTGTGTCGATACATGTTTTCATTTCTCTTGGGTAAATAGCTAGGAGGGGAGTTGCTGGGTCATCGGGTAACTGTGCTTTAACCTTGTGAGAAACTGCCAAGCTGTTTTCCAAAACAGTTGTCTCATCTGACATTTTCAGTTGCTCCTCACATGGCCAACATTTGATGCTGCCAATCTTTGCAGGGCTAGCCACCCTAATATGTAAAGTCATACATCGCTGTAGTTTTATTTGTATTTCTCTGATTATTGATGATGTTGACCATATGTCATGTGCTTATTGGCCATTTGTAGATCTTTTGTAGTCTGTTAAGTCTTCACTAAGTTTTTTTTAAAATCACGTTGTCTTATTATTGAATTGTAGGAGTTCTAGATATATATTTGGATACAAATCCTCTATCAGATAAATGCATTGCAAATATTTTCCTCTAGAATGTGGCTCATTCTTTTAAAATAATGGTGCCTTTTAAGGTTGTGGGTTCCATTCCCCGTCTGGGCACATACAAGAATCAACCAATGAATACATAAATAAGTTGGACAACAAATCAATGTTTTTCTCCCTTCCGCTCCCCCCAAAAAATCAATAAATAAATTTTAAAATTTTTAAATAAAATAATGGTGCCTTTTAAAGAGCAGAAGTTTTTTATTTTGATTAATTGGTGGTATATAGGCTATATTATTTAGCAATAAAAGTGCATAAAATATAAAATAGTGCAGTCAACTTGGAAAAGTTCCTCAAACTATTAAGCATAGAGTTATCATATGGCCCAGCGATGCCACTCCTAGGTATATACCCAAGAGAACTGAAAACATGTCCACACAAAAACTTGTATATGAATGTACATAGTAATATTACTCAAATAACCCAAAACTAGAAACAACCCAAATGTCCATCAACTAATCAATAGATACACAAAATGTGGTTTAATCTCTACAGTAGGATATTATTCAGCCATAAAAAAGAACGGTGTCCTGATACGCTACAACATGGATGAATCTTGAAAACATGTTAAGTGAAATAAACCAGACACAAAAGAACCACATTTTGTATGGCTCTTTTGTATGAAATGTCCAGAAGGATAAATCCATAGTGATAGAAAGTGGATTAGTGGTTGCCAGTAGCTGGGGAGAAGGACAGGGGAGTGACTGCTAATGGGTACAGACTTTCTTTTGAGGGTAATGTTATAAAATTGGTTGTGATGGTTGCCCAGCTCTGTGACTACACTAAAAACCACTGAATTGTACACTTTAAAAGGGTGTTTTTTATTTAATAAAGTTTTATTTTTCAAAATGTACAGCTGGTGGGATCTGTTGTTCATGCATCTTCACCAGCAGCTGGGGCGTCCCCACCCTTGGTGTTTCTGGTACATGACTTGAGCTCTGTGCTTTGAAACTAATTTAATAAGTCCTTACTAAGGAGCTCCTAGGGCTGTCCTGACAACAGTCAAGGTTATAAGCTTATAGTTGGAAACTTCCTTACAGAGTTTGTCATACGTTGCTTTGTCAAATGAAGCTGGGCTATTGAGCTTGTCCCCAACTTTCGCTTTGGGTCACTTCTTTTTGGCCTCGCCCCCAGATTTGTTCACTGGGTCTTTGTCTTTCTTGGCCAACTTTCTGGCATTTTTCTTCTTCTTGTCCTCTTTGGCAGCACAGGGAAGCTCAAAGAGCAGCTGCTACCACTGCAGCCTTGCTAAATGTTGGACAGAAGGTTAAAAAGGGTGAATTTTATGATGTGTGAATTCTCTCTTAATAAAGCCGTTGATACCAAAACAAAACAAAACAAAACAAAACTGCTAATGCATGCAACATGAGCGAATTTCAAAACCATGATGCTGCAAGAAGTCAGACACAAAAGAGTAATACTATATGCTGCCATTTATATAAAGTTCTGAAGCAGGCAGAACCAATCTACAGTGGTGGAAATCAGATCAGTAGTTGCCTGTGGCAGGGGGCGGGGAAAAGATTGACTGTGAAAGGACATGTAAGGGAGCTCTGTGATGCAATGTCCTGTATCTTGATTGGGGTGGTGATTACATACATGGGTGTATATACTTGTCAAAAACCATAGAACTGTACACTAAGATGTGTGTATTAAATTATGTGTACATTTTTACTTCAATAAATTAATTTAAAAACAGAAAACAGATTTCTGTCTCAGTCAGGCAATATAGTCAGCAGTGCTTCCCAACCCTTCTCACCCACATCATAAGGGAATAATCTAGTGCAGCTTTACTAAAGGGCATTTGGAGTCCTTGTCTAGGGTGGACCTGCGGCTCCCAGCCCAGGCTCTGGGCACCTTCCCTGCCTGGCTGAGGACCTCAAAGCCTGCCAGGGACATGCTTGGGAAGCTCAGTGTGGTGGCAAGCAAAGTGGACTCTGGAGTCAGACTGATGGGAGTGGGGGTGAGTTCCTGCCCTGCTGAGAACTGCCTCTGTGCCTTGGGCAAGTTACCGAGTCTCTCAGTGCCTCTGATTCCTCGCCTCTAAAATCAGATAGTAATAACACTTGCCTCAAAGGAACACTGACATGATAAAGATAACATGTGCGAGTCCGTAGAATCTACCTGGCACAGCATAATTAATCAATTACAACTCATTATCTTCATAAAAGGGGACAAGAGCTACTGTATCATTTAATGAGAACATAATATTTCCCTGACTGATAAAGTTTCCTGTTCTAAATAAAATAAAATTAAAATTAAAAAAGGACTATTCTTTAAAACTTTACATCTTGGGAATTCTCACTTGAAAATACAAATGAGTCCCCAGCAGTGTACCGGCTGGCACCAAGATGTCCAGCATTGCTGTAGTGAATTTTCACTGCACCTTATGTCCCAGCCCCTCTGCGTGTCTCTGCCATGCCACCCGACTCAGTCTCCTGCTTCTCCACAAGGTTCAAGAGAGCCCCCAAATTAAGAGGGCACAAAAGTACAGGTGTTTGAGTGGGGTATCCCTCCACCCTCTTCTCCCCCTTCCATCTCCTGGCGCCTCTAATCACCAGGCGGTCTGAGGCTAAGTGGTAGTTTTGCCCACAGTGGGGCTTGGAAACCACACCCCTTCTCCTGGGGCCCTCCTGGCCATTCCCAACACCCTGGTCTCCTCCACTGTTGAGATGGGTCTCAAGGGGGCATGGTGTTTCCCATGGTGTGTGTGCCGGAGACAGCGGGGGACTGAAAGAGGAGCAGGTATGGGGAAAAAGGGGGGGCATCAGGAAGCTATAAACTGCACTGGGAGAAAGGTAAATGCTTAACCCAGTGAAGGGAAAAGGATAGTCTGTTTCCCTGGATGGGAGGTGGGTCTATGACTTCCCCACAGAGCTGGCTAAATACTTTGTGGGGCCCAATGCAAAATGCAGAAGTGGGACCCTATATTAAAAAATGATTAAGAATTTCAAGATGACGAGAGTAGAGCAGCACACCCAGCATGGGGCCCTTCTGAGTGTGGGGTCCTTTGCAACTGCACAGGCCTGCTCTCTCAAGGACTCCTCTCCCTCTCCCTGCTGATGCCACCAACATTCACCCAGGACCCTCAGATGTCTTCCCTGGCCTTTTTCCTCCTCACTGAGGGTGGTGGTGTGGGGGTAAAAGGGATCCAGACTCACAATTCCCTTCTTCTTTCAATCTCCCTTTTAGGTCTGGATCCAGCTGCCCCTCCAGATCCAGATCCCAGCCCAGTGATAGCTCCCATCATGACTGAGGGAGGGATGCCCTCCCTAGGGTCTAGTGCCTACTTCAGCAGGAAAGCCCGGCTCTCCTTCCGCCACCAGCTGCATGACATAGCATCAGCCAATGACTCTACCATTTGAAGGGGACAACCAGGGGCTGAACTTCTAGGAAGCCTTGGCAACCTTCCTTCCCCCGCTTCTCAGTGATTCCACTTTCTGGCTCCCCCAAGTCCCTCGTGATCTTCTCATTAAATATATTCAGAGTTGCCAAATGTTCTGTGTATGTCCATGTATGTTGAGATGGAAGAGTAGATGGGGAGTAGACTTGGTTAGGGGGCTGAGGTGGGAAGTGCAGAATTGGGTGGGAGTG